GCAAATTCTAGGGCAGCATGCTTTGAATGAAGGGAAACATTTAGCCGTAGTTTATCTTTTTGTCTAGTTTGTGGATGTTAACAGGCAGAGTCGGGCAAACTGCAGGTTACTCCTTATAGTGGATTCTAGTTGCCATGATTTTAATACTGCTACAGACTGAAGGGTCACTGGCTTGGAAAGCGCGTTCAGTTTCTACTGTATGGGGTCCATGTGGAAAATGTATCCCTTACTCAGAAACATGGATCTAGCTTGAGTCAAGAATAAGGTAACTGGTTCTGCCAGTTGGTGATTCCACAGAGTGGCTTGAATCTACATAGTAACACTCCTTGTTTACTAACTTATCACAAGTTATTGGAACTTCATGTACTTGTAAGGCTTTGGGGATTAGAACTGGGTACCTGCCATTTAAGGGATTCGTCCATTGTAACAATGGTTTGGCTTTGGTGAGTTCAGTGAAACATGTTTCCTTGCTATACAATTTTTATTAAAATGGTACTTTGAGAGCCATTCTTAAGGAATTGTTAATAAACTTAGAAACCAAACTGTATTACAATGTTGTTAATACACTAAGCCTGACTGGTGTATTTTACCTGATCATAGGAGTAATGACCAGGAATAGCACTTTTTTTTAATCTTTTTTTTTCTTTTTTCGTTTTTTCATTAAAATTTTTTTTTGCTTTGTTTTTTTGTTTGTTTGTTTTTAGCACTTCTGTCAGAATGACCATCAAAACTATTATTTTGGCCTTTTGGGAAACGAAGGAAGGTTAATTTCTAAATGCCTATGGGTGAATTCTTAGATAATGATAAATTAGCTGCCAGTTAATACTGAGCACTTTACAGGGGCCAAGAATTTCTGAGTTCTTTGTGTTACCTCAGTTATGAAAGTGTTCACCCTCATTTCACATGTGAAGATGAGAGGTGAAATGGTGGGTTTCGCAGCTAGTAAGTGGCAGAGCCTATGTCAAATTTAGGTCAATGATTATAAAGCCTGGGTTTCCCTTTCTTTTACCCTATATACATTTTGTAGTAAGTAATCAGAAATGTGAAGTGACTTGAGATTTCTGACAGTTAAATAGATGCTGTTTGAAATACGCTGTCACAGAAAATTTGGTTGACAAGAAAGATTTAATTCACATAAAAAATGTACGTCTCTTTTATTGTGTTCTCCAATAAATTATCTTCTAGTTAGTGATTACATGCTTTTGGTATTCTAGATTGGGTGGTAGAAGTCCTTTTGTGTTTTTATATTCTTATAGGGAAATGATACTGGTTTGGATTTTTGTATCAAGTTCTGCTACTTAAGGGCTTTGATGTTATAGAACTTGGGCAGTTTTGCCAAAAGACCGACTTTCCGAAAATAATGGTTTTTCACCTTTCAGCAGAAGTAATTGCTTGGTGATCCAGCTTTTACTTTGCAATCCTCACATTGCTACTGAAGTGCAAACATTTGAAATTGCAGGGGTTTTGGGGAATACTGCCAGTTTTCAATTGTATTTGACTGTTACGCTTTTTGATTTCAGTAATTCGCCAAAATGACGAACACAAAGGGAAAAAGGAGAGGCACTCGATACATGTTCTCTAGGCCTTTCAGAAAACATGGTAAGTAGGTTTACCTTCCCTGAGAGAGAGCATGGCACAGATTTGTGTTCTGTTGTGTTCGGCATGTTGTGGTCCATAGAATGTGTATCAGTAGCATTAAATAGCATCTACCCAACTTATTTTATAATAAATAAGCATGAAGTTTATGTAGTTTTGTGACTAAATATTGATGCAAGATTAAACTTTGGAGAGAGGTTGTGATTTAGTAGGCTTAGTTTGCTTTGAGGAGAAATTGAACATTGGCAAGATATTAAGCATGTAACCATAAAAAATGTTGGATGTATGTGTTAAAAGCTAGTAAAATTGCATTTCTTTTACTCTACACTTTTAGCCTTAATACTCGCTATATCAAATTTACTTTTGCAGGAGTTGTTCCTTTGGCCACGTATATGCGAATCTATAAGAAAGGTGATATTGTGGACATCAAGGTAAACATAAAATTGGGGAAATAACACTACAGAAGTTAGAAAAGTTGGATTTCATCTAGTGTAGAAATTCGTATACTAGTGTATATTGCATCTGTAAGAGTATGGAATAGATTTTTCTTGAGACAGAGTTTTGCCTTTGTTGCCCAGGCTGGCATGCAGTGGTGTGATTTCAGCTCACTGCACCCTCTGCCTCTCGGGTTCAAGTGATTCTCCTGCCTCAGCCTCCCAGGTAGCTGGGATCACAGGCATTCGCCACCACGCATGCCCAGATAATTTTGTATTTTTAGTAGAGACAGGGTTTCACCATGTTAGGTTAGTGTCCAGCTCCTGACCTCAGGTAATCTGCCTGCTTTGGCCTCCCAAAGTGCCGGGATTACAGGCATGAGCCACCGTGACTGGCCTAGAATGGATTTTTTTAAAGTATTCTTAGCAGAATTAAAATTTTTCTCATTACCACTTGGAGTTAACATCTAGTGGAAATTGGGTGGTAGGGAGGGGAATTATGAGAGTTTGGCCAGGTAGGAAGGAATATGTTAAAGTTTAATTGTTGATGAAAATTACTGTTACTGTGGTTAAAAATCCTTCCAGTGAAAGCTGTGTTCTTCTGTGACCCGGATTAAATGTATCCCGGCACTCTAGAGCTTAATGATGATTTCTTTGATTGCTTGAAGCAATGTGAAAAACACATTTCACCGGCTCTGAAAGCTCTTGAGTTGCCATTTGGAAGAAATCTTAGAATATAGTTACTTAAAGTCAGGTTTTTAAAGGAACGGGAAATCCTGGTGTATAATATTTGTCTCTTTAACAGGGAATGGGTACTGTTCAAAAAGGAATGCCCCACAAATGTTATCATGGCAAAACTGGAAGAGTCTACAATGTTACCCAGCATGCTGTTGGGATTGTTGTAAACAAACAAGTTAAGTAAGTAGTGTTGTAGTTCTTCCTGGCTAATTGGTATTCCCTCATACCCGCTTTTCACTTTGCCAATTGGACTTCATGTCTTTATTGGTCATTCAAGTGGGGCAAAGGAAATAATCCTTTTAAAACTCAGGCAAACTGGGTGTTTGTCTTGTATCCTGTCAGAGGAAACATTGAAACAGATTTCCTGGGAAGTCTTAAACGGTTTGGTGTTAAGCAGTTTTTATAGAATAAAAAGAGTAGTAAGTTATAAATTTTATTAGCTATCTGGTTTTGGTTAGATACTAGAGTTTAAGAGGCTGTCATCTCATCACAGAGAGCTTAAAAGTAGGGATGTTCTGCAAAGCCTCTTCTGATATGATTAATAATTGATTGTAAATTAAGTAATTGAGGCATACTTTGTTGATTTTCATCATATCTGGGTAAAAGGTGTATGGTTTATTTAATAAATGAAACTGTAAAAACAGTTTCTATGTTTCCGTTTTGTTTTTGATAAAGCACTTAAAAGAATTTCTGCTCTGTCCAGGGGCAAGATTCTTGCCAAGAGAATTAATGTGCGTATTGAGCACATCAAGCACTCTAAGAGCCGAGATAGCTTCCTAAAACGTGTGAAGGAAAATGATCAGAAAAAGAAAGAAGCCAAAGAGAAAGGTACCTGGGTCCAACTGAAGCGCCAGGTGAGAATTTAGTGTGTATTTCATTGGTCCTGAGAGCCCTTTAAGGTTGTTTTAACACTTCATATAATTATTTTATCCCTTTTTTTTTTTTTTCCCTTTAATAGCCTGCTCCACCCAGAGAAGCACACTTTGTGAGAACCAATGGGAAGGAGCCTGAGCTGCTGGAACCTATTCCCTATGAATTCATGGCATAATAGGTGTTAAAAAAAATAAAAGACCTCTGGACTGTAAAAAATGTTTTTCTTCATTGAGTAGAAGTATGGTGTCTTAATGTATTTTTTGCTGAAAGACATGAGGTAGCTTATTGCAACAAATTACTCAGTTGGTTAGAAAATGGGCAGCTATTATATATCAAATATTTGTACTGGTTTGAAGATAGTCCCTCTAAATCACCAAGGAAGAAATAGAATATAAAAATAAGTGGAACATAATATATTATATTACACTTAAGCTCCAGATCCAGAGTTTGCTTTTGAATCCTAAAAAAATTGATTGTTGGCTGGGCACGGTGGCTCACACCTGTAATCCCAGCACTTTGGGAGGCCAAGGTGAGTGGATCACAAGGTCAGGAGTTTGAAACCAGCCTGACTGAGATGGTAAAACACTGCCTCTATTAAAAATACAAAAATTAGCAGGACACAATGGCAGGTGCCTGCAATCCCAGCTACTCAGGAGGCTGAGGCAGGAGATGGCTTGAACCCAGGAGGAAGAGGTTGCAGTGAGCTGAGATTGCACCACTGCATGCTAGCCTGGGAAACAGAACCTCCATCTCAAAAAAATATTTAAAGCGTCCATTCTTTGTGTGTTGCATGTTAGTTTGGAATTGCTTTGACCGTGCATGGAACAGGACTCAGAAAATAGTGGTGGTAATAGCTTTTGTCTTAGACTTTTGCTGTAACAATATACCAAAGACCTGGGTAAAAAGTAGAAGCTTATGTGGTTGTTCCGGAGACTGCAAAGTCCAAAGGTAAAGGTGCTGGCAGGTTCGGTGTCTTACGAAGGTTTGACCTTCACTTACCTCTTGTTACTGCCACAGTGGGAGGTTTTTTTGTTTTGTTTTGTTTTAGTTGAATGTTTATTTTGAGATAATTGTAGATTTACATGGAGTTATATAATAGAGATCCCATGTGTACTGTATCCTGTTTGTCAACGATAACATCTTGCAAAACTGTAGTGCAATGTCACAATCAAGATATTAATAGGCTGGGCTTAGTGGCTCATGCCACTTTGGGAGGCCGAGGTTGGGGGATCACTTGAGGTCGGGAGTTCAAGACTACCTTGGCCAATATGGTGAAACATCTGTATTAAAAATACAAAAATTAGCCAACTGTGGTGGCTAGCACCTTTAATCCCAGCTGCTCTGGAGGCTGAGATGAGAATTGCTTGAACCTGGGAGGGAGACAGGTTGCAGTGAGCCGAGATTGTGCCGCTGCTCTCCAGCCTGGGCAACAGGGAGACTGTCTCGAAAGATAGTAAAGTCAATATATAGAACAGTTCTAACACCAAAAGATACCTCATGTTACCTTACAGAGTCAGGCCACCTCTTCCTCTTGTCATCCCCACTGACCCCTGGCAAGCACAAAGCAGTCTTCATTTTGTCGATTCAAGAATGGAAATGATAGGGATCATGTAAGTTAGATGTGACCCTTTGCCTTTTTTGACTTAGCATAATTCCCTGAAGATGCATCCAAGTTGTTTTCTGTATCGTGTTTATTTCTATTGCTGAGTACAATTCCATGGTATGAACATACCACGGTGTGTTTAATCATTGACCTGTTAAAAGACGTTTGGGATATTACCAATTGTTAGCTATTGGTTTTGGGGGTATTTGTTCTGTTTTTTTTGAGGTGGAGTTTTGCTTTTGTTGCCCAGGCTGGAGTGCAGTGGCATGATCTCGGCTTACAGCAACCTCTACCTCCTGGGTTCAAGTGATTCTCCTGCCTCAGCCTCCCAAGTAGCTGGGATTATAGGCATGTGCCACCACACTTGGCTAATTTTGTATTTTTAGTAGAGACAGGGTTTCTTCATGTTGGTCAGGCTGGTCTTGAACTCCTGACCTCAAATGATCTCTCCACCTTGGCCTCCCAGCTTGCTGGGGTTCCAGGCCTGAGCCACCGCGGCTGGTGTGTTAGCTGTTGTTTTTAGGGCTGTTAATGAGCATTCATATACAGGTTTTTGTGTGAAGGTAAGTTTTTATTTCTCTGGGATAAATGTCCAAGAGTGCAGTTGCTGGTCTTACAGTAGTTGAATGTTTAGCTTTCTGAGAAACTGCTAAACTATCCAGAGTGTTTTCTACCATTTTACATTTCTACCAGCAGTGCGTGACTGATGGCAGTTTCTGTGCAACAGTGGAGATTAAGTTTCATCATGAATTTTGGAGAGGACATTAAAACAACAACATTCAATTGGAAACCTTTATTTACCAAACATGGGTCCTTGAAATGCATCCTCACTAATCTTGATAACAGGCATTAAGTCCATTTCATCCCCTAGCTGATTTTATCCAACCTTTGAGATTCTACACAGTCAGTCTTCTGTTGCTACCTTCTTGGGGTATATTCGCTGTGTAAGGCAAAGACCTAGTAATATTTACTAAATGCTGTGAATGAGTTTGGGTGCAGTTGCTCACAACTGTAAACCCAACACTTTGGGAGGCTGAGGTGGGAAAATCACTTGAGTCCAAGAGGTCAAGGCTGCAGTCAGCTATAATTGCATCACCACACTCCAGCCTGGGTGACAGAGCAAGACCCTGTCTCAAAAAAGTAAATTTTTTAATGCTATGAATGGGGAAAAGTCTAATTGGCCTTGAGTGTTTTGTCTAATAAAGTGATATGGGTGATATGTACTGCTTTGGAATCCCCCACACCTGGGTATGAATCTGAATAACTGCCCCTAAGGCAGTCTAGTAGTGGAGAGTTGCATTTAAACATAATTACCACATTAGTCCTGTTTATTTTCCCATCGTGGTTCATGGCTCAATCATGCATCTAGTTGAAGCCATTACACCCTGTCCCTTTAGTCACACTTCTCTTTTTTCCCTTCATTAAAGCAGCTTCTAGGCTTCACATTTACTCATTCTGTTGCTACACTGCAAATTGACCTATGTAACTCAGTTTTCTTACCTGGAGGGGGATAATAAAAGTGGCCCTAAAAGGGTGATTGTAGGGATTAGATGGGAATACTTACAAGCACATAGCATGATGTCATGGTAAATATTCAGTAACTACCAACTTTTATTTCATAATCTCTAGTGCTGATTGAGAACTTCACATCATTTCTCCACAAATGCCTGCCAGGAGTATTTTGGATGTCCAAAATTAAGCCATTGCTTTCCAGCAAATCTAGAATTTACTAATGTTTAGGTTTTAAGAGTATATATGGCCCGCTTTTGTGGGGAGGAGGGGTGTGGTATATTTTTCTATTTACTATTTACCTGCTTGAGAGAGCATATGTAAAGCTGAGCTCTCTTGTTAATGAATGATCGTTGTATGCCTAACAGCATTTGTTGACCACTTGATCTATTTTATCCTAGCTGCTTTGAAATGTGGAGATTACCATGTTTTATGAGTCAGATAAAAGACTCAAGAATGGAGGATAACTCACCAGTGGTCACACTGCCAGAAAGTGGGAGAGCTGGGACTTGAAACCATTACTCTTATGTCAAAGAGTTCCTTTATTCACTGTGCTGTTTGACTACCAAGTGGATCCCTAAAGACTTCAATAAGTTAGTGTGTGTGTGGGTACACGGTGGGTGCCGGATAGTGTCTGGATGAACACATTATTTTTGTAACAGCTGTGTTGAGCTATGACTGATAAAGAACAAAAACTGTACCTTTAATGTGTACAGCTTGATGAGTTTAGACAGTTGGATGAATTTGTGCAAACACATGATGCTATCATGTATGTGACCCTTTGTAATCTGGTTTCTGCTTGTTTTCCTGTTACCGTCTTCCTACTTTATGCTTTAGGTATTAGGGAAAAACGTTTTTTCAAGTTCTTTTGCACATGCACTTGCCTTTGCCTGAAACACTTAGGCTTTCCTTTGGTCACTTGATGAGTCCCTGTGTGTCCTTTAGCATTCACTCTGTGTTATCTCATAGATGGTACCTTCCCTGATGCAAATATTTTAAGGAGAGGAATGAAGAAAGCTCTTGGAATCAGAGAAGAGAGATTACTTCTGTTTGTAATAAAATCCCCCACATCTTTGTTTCTATGACAGATGTTTCTGTTACAGTGTTTTTAACTTGTAAAGTTCTGTCTTCCTCACTACACCTGAGTTTAAGGACTGATCTTACTAAATTTTGCACTCCTTGTGCCTGGAATATAGTAAGCATTCAATAAATGCTCTTCGAATTAATGAGAAGATAATGAGAAAAATGCTCTTCTTTTAAAAAAAAATGGATATGTCTGTGTGTTCAGTCTTTACAAAACTATAGTGTTTCTCTGAATTTTGAGGGCTTCTAACCATTTTGCATATGAGTAAGTAGGATTGTTAAATCTGCCATGTAATGTGCAGAGATCAGGAGACCTTAAACATTCTTTTGTTAGTTCTCCAACGAGTCATGTTACCTTCACTTTTTGTTGCCTTACCAGGAAAGTGATGTCACTTATCTGAGTATAAGGGATTGTATAAAATGATTCCTAGAGGCCCTTTGTGCACTTAGGGTCTGTGATTTAGTATTTTACCAACACCAGGTGGAATAAGTAAATTGTGACTTGTCAACAAGGAAACAGGGATATGAGGTGTCTTAGTTCAGAGGGGCTGATGAAGTTGGCCATTGAGAGAAGGATGACAAACAGAATTGCTTTAGGGGGACTACTATCCTTAGCACAGATATTCAGAAAATGAACTCTTCCTATTTGATGTACAGCACAGCAATTTTTAAAACAGTGGCAATACTGTGAATATGCATAAAAATTTTAGTATTTTGGATTAATCTTCGAAAATAGATTTTCTCACAAGCACAATGCTGGGTTAAAGAATATGTGATTTTCAAATTGTTGATTCATTTTGATGAATTGATTTATAAACGGGTTATACCAATTTGCACTCCACCCTCCAATGAACATGCTTGTATAACATTGATTATTTTAATTTAATCTTTGTTACTTTGGTAGGAGAAATGTTTAATTATTGAGTATGGCTTCAATTAGCTTCCGGAACCCTCTCCTGGTTTCCTTTTACCTGCACTGCAGTCTTTGCTGGATCTGTTTCTGACCTCCAAATATTGAAGTACCTTTATACTCCAGGTGAGATTTAGCCTCATGGCTTTGAATACCATTTATATTCTGACTATTATCTTGGGCTACAAAACCTTCATTATCTGTCCTGTAGCTATTTTTGCAACCTAGTCTTGAACCACTTCCAGCCCCAAAGTCAGATTGAGTTATAGGAGCTTTGCTGTGTCTTTTTTTTAAAGACAATTTCTGTCTTGTTGCCCAGGCTGGAGTGCAATGGCATGATCTGGCAATCTCTGCCTCCTGGGTTCCAGTGATTCTCCTGCCTCAGCCTCCTGAGTAGCTGGGATTACAGGCATGTACCACCCCGCCTGGCTAATTTTTGTGTTTGTGATAGAGACGGGGTTTCTCCATGTTGGTCGGACTGGCCTTGAACTTCCAACCTCAGGTGATCCACCTGCCTCAGCCTCCCAAACTGCTGGCATTTATTTTACAGTACTTATTACCCAACATGTTTTCTTTAGTGATCTGAGTTTTCATCAACTTGTATCTGTAGATCTTTATCAAGGGTTTTTTTGGTGGTTTTTTTTTTTTTTTTTTTAGACTGTCTCCGTGGTCACCCAGGCTAGAGTGTAGTGACATGATCATGGCTGCTGCAGCCTCAAACTCCTGGGCTCAAGTGATCCTCCTGCCTCAGCCTCCTGAGTAGCTGGGACTATAGGCGCATATCACCACGCCCAGCTAATTTTTGAGTTTTAGTAGAGATGGGATTTCATTGCCCAGGCTTATCTCAAACACCTGGGCTCAAGTGATCTGCCCACCTCAGCCTCCCAAAGTATTGGGATTACAGGCATGAGCCACCACACCTGGCCAGTAAGGGGATGTTTACTAGTACCTACTCTACTGTGGAATGAAGGGAAAGGACATGGACACCATAAAGCTTTATTAAGGAGGTGACAGGATAGGAGGAACAGTAAGATCCAACTCCCTTCATAAAACAAGGCAAAACAAGGTATCAAGGAAGGCAAAGGAGAACAGAGAAAAGAGGTGACATTGATGGGGCTCTTGCCTCTGCCCTCGTTTCACTGATTATCCTAGTCTATGCAGTGGTGCAAACTTGGCTCACTGCAACCTCTGCCTCACAGATCCAAGCAATTTTTCTGCCTCAGCCTCCCGAGTAGCTGGGATTACAGGCATGCACCACCACACTTGGCTAATTTTTTTGTATTTTTAGTAGAGATGGGGTTTTGCCATGTTGGCCAGGCTGCTCGAACTCATGACCTCAGGTGATTTGCCTGCCTCAGCCTCCCAAAGTGCTGGGATTATAAGCGTGAGCCACCGTGCCCAGCCCAACTTGCTGCTTTTTTGACTTCAGCCTGCAGACTTGGAAAAACCAGCAAGTATACCAAGCAGCCCTTCCTGTGCCTTCCTCCTCCCTTTCATAGCTAAATTTCCTGGTCGCCCACTGCAAATCTGGCTTCCGCCTCCACCACTGTGATGAAACTGTACTCTTAAAGGTTACCAAAAACTTGCTAATTAACAAATGTAGATACTTTTTTCTAATTTAATTTTATCCACGTAATATTTGACAGAGCCAACAATTTTTTTCTCTTGCAGAGGGTTCTGCCATCATACTTTACTCAGTTTCTTCTCCCTATCTGACCCCCTTCTGCCCTCATTCTGGCTCCTCCTAGATGTTCCACATTTGTTCTCTCTTCTCTATAAATTATTCCTGGGTTATCTAAGACAGAGGTTCTTAAAGTATGATCTCCCAGCTAGCAGCATCATCATGTTCTGAAATCTTGTTAAAAATGCAGACCCACCAAATCTGAAATTCTGGGATGGGGCCCAGCACTCTGTATTTAACAAGCTCTCAGTGAATAAGATGCAGTGCACAAGTTTGAGAACCACAGCTCTATGTCTTTAGCCTTCTCTTAATACTTGAAACTCAGTTGCCGAGCTCACATTCTCTGAAGCCTCAGATCTGTAGTTCCGTATCTGTCTTGGGCAGTTCCATCAGGATATCCTGCAGATTAGGTTTTATAAGTGGGTAGATAATTAAATTGAAACCTCCAAGCTTTGAGTAATGTGTTTGTGTGTGTTGATAAAATTGCATGTCTGCCATGCAGGTCCTGAACAACAACCACAGATTGTGAATTTATAAATTAACCTCTTACTGTCCAATTTCCCTTCTTACACTTGTCCGTGAAAATGAAGAAAAATATCCTAACTATAAGTTTTTCACTCTTTGTTTAAGTAATAAGAGCCATGATTGTAAGTGAGGCTGTGTGCTTCCTTGAACTTTGAATTCACCCTGTTCTGATCTAGCCAGGTATCCTCTAAGGCTTTCTATTTTTGTTTAGTTCAAACCAGTCTCAAGGGTTAAATAAAATATATCACACTGTTTTTTGAAGTTTTCCTCTGAATGTTGTGACAGAAACGCACATTTAGGTTCTTACCTCTCCCATATTCCCACTCCTGTAGTATTAGCATTTTCTCTGTACTAGGATGGAAAATTTGCTAAAATATAAAGAATTGCTAATATTTAGCAATAAAAATTGCTAAAATATAAACAAGGGAGTTTTCTCTTACTCTTTTTTGTGCACAAGACAGGATTTGAAACTGGGTTGGATTTATTTGGAATGAGTGTTTATAGCATATTTCTTCACCCCAGCTCCGCTTAAAGGAGAAAAAAATTGATAGCAAAAATCCTTCTCCACAGAATCTGTTCGACCATTTGCTAGGTTATGAATAATAACAGTGAGGCAGCATCTGCAGCTGCTGTTGCTGAGGTGCAAAATGTGCACAGAGGATTGAGTAAGCAGCCGAGGCTCTGCACCGTGATTCTTTTCAAACGGCCATGTGTGGTGAGGAGCTGCTGACAGGCCTCCACACGAAACCGCTAATGGAACAGGCTTGCAAATGCTGTCGTACATGTTTCTCCAGCAAGACTCAAATGTATGGAAATCGTTTGGATTGAAAAAGATATGAAATGGAGTACTCTTTACTCTCTCTGTAAAATGAGATGATGGCTTAGTTCAAGTGAAGATAATTGGATTTTTTTGGTTCCACCTAAGCAGGAAGAGAGGTTCAGATTAAATTAGTTGTTTATGGGAGATGAGTAAGTAAACAGTTTTAAGACCTTTGAGGTCAAAGACCATATCTTCTTTTTTTTTTTTTTTTTTTTTTTTTTTTTGGATTCTGGGTCACCCAGGCTGGAGTGCAGTGGCACAGTTACAGTTCACTGCAGCTTTGAACTCCTGGGCTCAAGGGATCCGCCCACCTTGGCCTCCCAAAATGCTGGAATTACAGGCATGGACTGCACCAGGCCCATATCCTATTATTTGTAAGCTCCTAGTACTCATACTGTTGTGTGTACAGTCTACTCTTTGTATCTGTGTCTGTGACGTCTACATGGATGGATTCAACCAAGCTGGGTTGGAAAATATTGGGCCAAAAAATTGCATCTGTTCTGAACACGTACAGACTTTTATCTTCTCATTCCCTAAACAATACAGTGTAACAACTATTTGCATAGCATTTACATTGCATTGTGTATTATAAGTAATCTAGAGATGATTTGAAGTGGGAAGAATAGGCCAAGCACTGTGGCTCATGCCTGTAGTCCCAGCACTTTGGGAGGCCAAGGTGGGTGGATCATTTGAGGTCTGGAGTTCGTGTTCAGCTGGCCAACATGGTGAAACCCCATCTCTGGTAAAAATACAAAAATTAAGCAGGCCTGGTGGTGCACGCCTGTAATCCCAGCTAGTAGCTGGGAGGCTGAGGCTGGAGAATTGCTTGAACCCGGAAGGCAGAGGTTGCAGTGAGCTGAGATCATGCTACTCCAGTCTGAGTGACAAAGTGAGACTCTGTCTCAAAAAAATAAATAATAAAGTAGGAAAGATGGATATAGGTTATATGAAAATAAAACACCCTTTCACGTCAGGGACTTAAGCATCCCTGGATTTTGGTATCCTCAGTGTGTCCTGGAACTAAAGCTGTGCAGATAACCCAAGAAACAACTGTAGAAGGAGCTCTCCTCAAGAAACGATTAATGACTTTCCATAGCCTCTCAATAAACTTTTTAACATGCCGTTCACAGGCTGGTTCCCAGCCTTTTGGGTCACTTACCACATCCTTCTCACCATTGAGATTACTCAGAGTTCCTCACACTTGCCATGTACCTTCATGATTTTGCACATGTTG